AAAAAAGAAAAAGATCTAATAAAAAAGACTTCGTAAGAAATGGCCTTAGTAGCAGTACTGAATTTGTCTTTTTTTCGGCGACAAAAAGCACAACACACACACCCTGCCCGCGCATGCGCATCCCTCTGCGATCATCCCCACTATTCTCGAATTGAAGAAGTATTGGCTCTCCAACAGGGGAAGAAAGTAGGCGGATTACCTCGTAAACGTATAAATTAGCCTACGTTTATCATAACGTGTGTTAGATCCTCAGATGGCTCCAGCACTTTCGTGACCACGGGCCGAGAGTCTTTGCTAGATTTTGGCATTTAGCAACTGGCATACGGTTTAATGTGAAGTCAACAACAACAACAACAACAACAACATCGGGGTTGCTGTTGAGCCCCTTCAGTGAGCCGGCATATCGCCCAACTGCTGTAGCCATCACCCTGTTCCGCCCGCACGGACCGCACCGCCACCTTTTTTTGCGCAGGGCGAGCAAGCGGGGGGTAGGAGAGCCCGTCAAGTCAGCGCCGAGAGGGGAAAATCATAGAGAAGTAGACTACATACATCCGGCGAAGGCGAACGCGGGAGAGTAGCAACAAGCGATCCAAGGTAACTAACTGCCGTACACACACCAATATATTCAAACCTCACCTCTCTCGGCTCTAACACGCCCGTAGCCTGGCGGAATCTGTGGCGCCAACCACCAGCCCCATGATCCGACCCTTCCCTGCCCGTCACTCACTAGTCTACCCCGCAAACGTGAGAGCTGCCAGCTTCACCTTCGCCGCTCAGCGAGCATGCGTGGTAGAGATGAACCTGCCGTCTGATGCCGGCGGGCGGGAGCGACGAGACTATTCCGACCACCTTATTTCAACGCACACATACCGCTTGACCACCACCATACGAAATTGCTATACAATAGTCCTAAGCGAAGTGTGTCTTCTTGCGAAAACAATTGATAGTATAACCCATTGTCCAGGCTAAAATATCAATATAACCGTTGCAACAATAGATGACTGATTCTATGGTATCGTCAAAATAACCGTTGCAACAATGGATGACTGATTCTATGGTATCGTCATTTTTCATCCGATCGACTCCTGTCGGCAGGATGCAAGACCATATCTCCACGCTATGCAACTATGAACGGGATAGCCGCAGCAGTCCGTTGTCCTCTTCTCGCACCCGATGTCCTACGCCAAGCCAAGGCGGCGCACCACGGAGCCATGTCTTTGGCCAAGATTTTTGGATCCCTGCTACAGTGATCACTATATTACTCCCTCTGTGGTCCGGATCTGCACGAACACATCCGGATCTTGGATCCTTCCTTCTTGTTCTGGCAACGGATCTTTGCAATGTTCACACACGCCGCCACAGACCCGTTGGATCGATGGTTTCGCTTCGCGAAGCTTAACGGATCTCGGGAAGCACAAGCCACCCCCACCACAACACCAGCTTCCACACACTCCTCCGCCCTCCTTCCTCACTCCCTCGCTCTGCCGCCAGTAGCTAGCACCGGGTGTGTACCAACAGCAGGTGAGAGACCTTGTGCTAATGCGTGAACTGATTTGTCGCGCCGTCTGAAGCAACGATTCGGTGGGCTATTGCCGCTCACCGTGCGATTCATCGCGAGAGGCCAAAGCTTTCCCTGGCTGGAAGGGTGTGCAGCAGCTAAACACTGCTGTAGCTCAGCTGCCGGACTCTCGAGAGGTCACGAGAAGAGTAGGGAGTGTGCTCTGCTGCCTGGCCACCGAAGCGCGGGCGTGCCTGTGGCTTTAGCCAGTAGTGCGGGGGGAATGCACAGCTGATAGCTGTTGATTCATCACGGCCACGCCAACGTGTGCCTGTTTTCCGGCTGATCTGGTTATCTCTCGATGTTGCGTGCACCCAACACCAGCAGCAGTTGTACAGGACGGCAGCCGCAGGCGAGACCCCTGTCACCGCTGTCGAACAAACTGCTAGGGTTTTGCTCGGATACTACAACGCACACGCGTTGTCATTCTCGGCAACAGACAAGTGGTGCAACGACGAGACTCGCACGACTGCTGTCGCTCTGTCCGATATGTGCTACCTTGGTTGTGTTTGGTGGTCGAAAGTCTCGGCGGTACTGTTGTGGTTTGCATGCCATTCCCGCTCTCTTCATAACATGTAATCTGCTTGTGCAACTGCTGTTGCTGATGCTTCTGCTACATTTGTACCACCACAATGCTTCTCGCTCCTTTTTCCGCCCCCCCCAGATGGCAGCTACCAGCATCATGACGAGACTTGCGGCAGCTCTACTGGTGTGTGCCACGCCCGTGGCTTCTCTGGAGACCTCTCTCAGGGGCGCAGAGGTGAGCGTTTTTCAGGAAATGTAAATGTTGATGCGCATTATTTCTCGGCGTTGTCTTTTTTCAGAAAACTGCTTGCTTTCCCAATGGGCTCTCTCTCGATTGTGTTGTTCCAACACCCCTACTGGCGGTAGTGGTGCAGCAGGTATGGAGGACGAGGAGTATCCTTTCCGCCAAAATGCACCAGCCCCGGACGCGTCACACACGCTTGGCCTCCAAAGTGTCACCGTCGACTTTGGTCTCAAGATGCTCCCAACGGACTACTCAACGTGAAATTGTTTCTCGATGCAACCGCCATATCGCCCTGGAAAAAAACAACGAACCATACACACCACGCACGGGGGCAAATGATCAACGAGAGAGAGGACTTGTGTGGAAACTTTGTTGCATATTCTAACAACGCATGATGTCACGTTCACTTCTTAATGTAATGGAGACACACTCCTGCTTGTACTGCTGTGTATCGCCGTGCAACATGTAATAGCACGGAATTCGTTGGTTCTCCCGTGATCCAGCCCTCTTCCTCTCAGCCTTTTTTTTCTCTGTGTAAGGCACCCCGACTGTCTTCGTCGTAACGCCGGAGACGGCGCGACGGTCCTGCGCAATCGACGCGTCAAATAACATGGTCGCAGCGTAGTCGCAACTGTGGGCACCGGTGACACCGCCGCCCGAAAGCAGTGACCGCGTTCGTCTGTTGGTGATGGCTTTCAGAGGAAAAAATCTACGTAAATGCGTCCATTGAGCGACTTGGCGGCACCTCAACAGCGTCACACGCGATCCCAACAGAAATATCAGTAGTTACCCCAGTTCACCAGAAATTGTTTGCGTTCCATTTTCTGTCTATAGCTATCAAGCTGGAGTTTGCAAATGGGTATGTAGTTGGACGTGGCGGCGATGAACCGTCATTTTTGATGGATCGTTTCACATGTGTCGTCCGTTTTGCCGCCTGCCCGCTCCCGACGCCCGAGCAGAGCACATGCATGCGTGCGAAAAGCGTTCAGACGCTGCTCGCTATCGTTGTTGGTTGCTGTCTGCACATCATAAACCGTTCGGATCTCTCTCTACCCAGTACCTTCCTTCATATGATGGTACTGATGCAACACTTCACGCGGTCGATTCCCGTCGTCGCAGGCTAACTCACCCTTGAAAGTTACACTCGAATAAACTGGTCCAGAGGGGTCCGCGGACCAGTAGAGATCAACGACAGATATTCTGGAGTTCTCCACTCCTTCTGCCCGCAATGCTAGGTAACAACTGAGACTAGTAGTCAGCATAACGGGCCAGGGAAAATGAGGGACACTCCCTTGGTTAAATCTTGGTGGTTCACAAGGCAGAGACATGCCATCTGACGCAGAAAAAAATTAGGATGGAAGGTGAAGTGAGAAAATAGAAGAAACGGGGAGGAAAGGGAAACGAAAATGGAAAAGAGCCACGGACCAACAACAATCAGAACAGGAAATGACGAAACAAGGGATGGAACCGCCATGTCTTATTTCGAAAATTAAAATTGTAAATATAAATATTATTTTGAAGGGAAGATACAAATATGGAGCGTTGGAGGTGTGATATCAACAACATGCTCGGAATGTCAACGGAATGTCAACAGCACCCAGCTCACATGATCGACGTGCTTGCTGTGTATCACCACCGCCGCCTCAGGTTGCAGCGGCAGCGGGAGGGGCTCGTCGCGGGCTCTCGGGAAGTAGTTACGAGTCCTACGAGCACCTCGGCTGCTACGTCGACAACGGCATGGTAAACTCAAGCCCTCACCTGCCGCTCGTGCTGGATGCGATGACGAACGAGGTGACAAGGCTATCACGAATGTGCCATGAACCATTTGCGTACATGTAGTCATGTACGCTTCTTGAGAAAACTCCTTTTCCATGAATCGATCGGCCTACAGCGGTAGCCTGCGTCCTACATGCCGGTTTTCCACAATGTCACGTTTCATCAGTGTGGTGTAGACCTTGTTGCTGACTCTCGCCGCCACGTGCTACATGTACTCATTGAATATGAACGAAACTCTTTCGTCACTCGCAACAGTTGTGCTACGACCGTTGCCATGAGCTCGGCGCGTTCTTCATGGGGACCCAAAAGGGCAATGAGTGCCGGTGTTCTCGCGAGGAGGACCTGGACTACTTTTCATTCGAGTCCGGAGTCTGCGACGAACCTTGCGCCGGCGACTCGGTGAGTTGGAAAAAACTCTGTTCGTACGTGCTCAACATGTACTAGTGTTGGATGCGGCGTGGAAGGTCTTTGCTTCTGCTTTTGCTGCCGTTGAGGAAGCAATCCGTCGACACGTTCTGGAAAACACACCCGTCGTACGCTATGTGTGACAAGCCAAGGTTGTTACACGTGTCCTCACCCTTGCGGGTGTGATTTCTCGCGCCTCTGGCGTTCGGCTAGAAAAAGTGCGAGCGTCGGAGCGAACGGCATCAGAGGGGTAGATGTTCCTTTCACGGTTCTGTGTGAAAGGCGTTCGGTGACGGTTACGGCTTACCTCAACCCTCACCCCTCTCGCCCCAGACCGAGACCTGTGGCGGCGATCTCACTCTCGACTTGTACAAGCTGACGCCGGCGGACGAACCGGACCACGAGGAGTATGAGGGCTGCTGGTCGGACTTAGGCGAGAGCCGTGTGATGCAGGACATGCTCGTCGACGAGAGCATGACGACCGATATGTGCCGCGATCACTGCGAGTCGTCGGACGCTGTGTACTACGCCACCCAGTACGGGAACGAGTGCTTCTGTGGGTACTCTAGCGACCCGGAGGACTACGAGACCCACGGGCCGGGCACCTGCCACATGCACTGCGCGGGGGATTCGGGGAGTGCTTGCGGTGAGTTGTTGAGAAGAACAGGACAAGAGTGTGTTGGTGATGGTATCGGTTGTGCACATCCAAAGTGTCTTCTTCATTTTTACCCCAAAACGCGACGCTCAAGCGCCTGATTCCCCCCCCCCCCCGACGGAGAGAGAAAAGAAGCCAATTCGGAGTTCCTTTCACCGCCGACCGAGAGACAAAGCATAGAAGTCATGTCGGAGGAAAATTCTTTTTCCGGTGTCACAACCCTCCTTTCTTGTGATCATCCCTGCTTAGTTCCTCACCTCGACCCCGCCTACTCCGAAAAACAACGGCGGCACCAGGTGGCTACTGGGCGTTCTCTCTCTTCAAGTTCGGGGCCGACGGTATGCCAGATCCCGCGGTGCCGGTGAGGACTTTTTTTCGTTTCCTATCGAGTTGTGAAGCTGATTAACCCGAGCTTTGCCCAAAACCCCCATTTCGCTTCATCTAATTCCGTTGAAGGCCGATTCTGCTGCCCCTCGCCCACGATGTACAGCAGATTACATGAAGTTGAGCTCTTGCTTTGCGTTCTTCCTTCGTCTGTGATGATTCAGGATGTGTCCGAGCCGCCCTCGGAGCCCGCCCCAGAGCCGGTAAGCGCGATTTCCTACGCAAGGAATGCCGTACTTTGAAGCGAACACGTTTATCGTCCTAATTTGGGGAACCTCAACTGCCGTTGATAGTTGTAGAACGCCCGGAGCACAGGTTGATCGTTAATTTGATGAAAGATTATTAAGGGCCCATTTTCGCAAAGGCCTACTACATGTTGTTGTGTTCCCAACTTGGCGAACCGCAACTACTGCCCAGGGTTACAGCTAGACTGTACTGCAACTTTTCTCATGCCGACCACACGCTTTGCTTGAAATATGGACGTCATGCAGGCGGTGGTAGTACACTAGAAACACTCGTCTCGTTGGGGGTGTACCGAATCAAGGGACGATGTCTATTTGAGCACGTCTTGTACACGCTTTAAGTTATGATGATGTACCCTCATATGACACCAAGGTCCGTCGATGGAACTATGCGCTGCGTCGGGTTGTATGTGTTGTGTGTTGCGCTTAGGTTGTCTCAACCCCGGCGCCCTCCATGTCGGAGGCTGAGTCGAAGACCCCTATCTCCGGCGGAGTATACGGAACCACCTTCGAAGGCGACGGGACCTACTACACCGGGATCTCGGCAGGCAACTGCGGGTTCTTCGATGACTTCCCGAGCATCTACAGCGGCATGACCCCAGGTTAGGATGAGGACACGGGTGATAATTGACCTGAAGACTTGTTGATTTGGGAATGAAGTTGGTTCTGTTGTAGGACCCCTCCTTTGAACTTTTTGCCATTCCGGTCCACCAACGTACACCCGCTGCTGGTGCTGTCTTGTGTGAAAAGTGGCGCTCAACGCGGCGCAGTACGGCGACTCGCTCATGTGCGGCTCGTGTGTGGAGGGTGAGGGCACCGGAGGAGGAGGTGGTGACAACCCGATTGGCACCTTCAAGGGCTTCATCATGGACAAGTGAGAGCATGGGGAATGTGCTAAACAAAAGGCGCGCGTTCGGTTTCGTCGGGTTTTTTTTACATCCAGACCAGCCTGTGTCCAACCACAACTCCAAGGCTTGCCTTGCCCCCTCGCTACACACGCATACGCAGCGTTCCATGTTGTGGTTTATAAAAAAATCAAGAAACTGTGGTGTTATTTCTGAAAACATCCCCCCACCTGGCTTCCTGCCACTCTCCTCTCTTGCTGCTGCACGAACCACCAACCGCGACAAATAAATTGTGATGGGTCACAGGTGCCCGGAGTGCCACGAGGGAGACCTGGACTTCGGGACCGGGCTGGACGGCCGCTGGGACATCGAGTGGCGGTTCGTGGCCTGCCCCGGGGAGGAGGTCTCCTTCAAGGTCGTGGAGATGACCCCGTACTACTGGAAGATCCAGCCCCGCGGCACCGCAACCCCGGTCGAGTCGCTCACCATCGGCGGCAGGGCGGCGGCGAGGACCGACGACAACCACTTCGAGCTGGAGCACCCGAGCGGTAACCCGTGGTACGAACCGCAGATGGTGGTGACCACCACCGTGGGAGGCGTCGTCGAGGAGACGGAGATGTCTGTCTAAGGGGAGGAGGGGAGGAGCGTGTTCTCTGGTAAGAAGCGCCGCCTCCCTTCTCCTTGTAGTAGTGGCTGGCTGGCACAACGAAGCTCAGTCCCCCACGTCTTTCACACCGTGCCGGCCAAACCCCATAACTATGGCTTCGTGCTGAGTTTTTTCAGCGGTGGACGGAAGCATTTTTTAACATTCGACCCAAACGAATCCGGCTTGGCTGTTGATCATGCCTTGCAACGACGGGCTGATGATGCACAGATGGGAAGGGCTGTGAAACGGACGCCGTGTATCGGCAGCGGTGGGGCAGAGCGGGTTGCTTGCACGGTACACGTCGTAGGAAATAGCACCATCGCTGTACTTGAGAAAGTGTTTACAGTGTCTGTTGGTGTGTTGTTCCTTCCTGAGGGCGGGATTAATGGGATACGTGTATCTTACGACATTGAGATGTACTTTTTAACAATTTTTGGAGTATAGGAAAGGGAGGGGTCAGAAGGCCCTTTGATGGTCGTGCACGCAGGCATGGATCAAATGAGTTGTGAACGTCGATCAGGTGCAATGTTTCTAGTTATAATCAGGTTTGTTGGGTCTTTCCTGTCGGCGATGCAGCACGATGCGGTAAGTTTTTGCACCGCGTTTTCCCAAACCTGTAGCGTTGAGGGCATAACAGGTTCTTGTGCGTTGTTTAAATTTCTGCTGGTTTCATCTGCTCGACCTGGCGGCGGAAAATGAGATGAGAGACGCGGCAGGGGATGGGTTGAAACGAATTTCAGAGAGCTTGTGGGCGTTAGGGAGTCTGTAGATTGGCTTGAGTTTTTGAAGGACAAGGATCACACGTGCATGCGTTGTTTGTGGACAAGNTTGTGGGCGATAGGGAGTCTGTAGATTGGCTTGAGTTTTTGAAGGACAAGGATCACACGTGCATGCGTTGTTTGTGGACAAGTATACAAACTCGAAGTAAGATTTTGCTGACGTCGTCCGTCGGGTGGAGCGGAATGCGTCGCGACTTCCCGAACGACGTGATATATATATGGATGTTTTTTGAATGTTTCCAGTGACGACGGGTTATAGAGCTAGTTAGGGTAGGTGATGACGTGTAACCAGTCAAATTGTCATGCATACGAAAATGGTTTGTTGCTTGGTGCGGTGTGAGATGATCGATGCGGCCTGTGGTTGATTGCATGGGGTGCTCGTGTGTATCTTGATGGTGAAAATTTTTCGCTGTTGGTGCTGGGGCTGGCTGCTTGGAACTGGTTCGTGCTCAAAAGAGCATGAAGATGGGAGACGCGGATGGATTCAGTTGCAGTTGCGCTCGTGCTGCCACGGACCCATGTCTTGTGATGGCCGACCTGTTTTTGATGGTATATCTTTGTTTTTGTGTCCTTGCAGTATGCGTTTTTGTCTACTCTCGCGCTTACGCTCTTTTCAACGACTCGTGCGTGGCTTACGTCGTATGTATCTCGTGCTTTTTCACTGGTCCGTTATGCTGTTGCAAAAAGCAAATTTCTTCTGTTGGTCGCGGGTGGACGCTACTTGGTTTATGCTTGTTGGTTGTTCTGTCTCGTCATTGCCCACTCTCTTGTCGTTGATCGCGTGCCGCTCTCGTGGCTCTTTTATCGCTTACTTGAATTCAAATATTTTGTTGAGTGGCCCGGATAGGGGCGTTGTTTGTTTCGCTAAACGCTGTGTAAAGGTGTTTTGTGGTAATATAGTGGGTGGGGGGTGATGTTCTCAGACAAGGCTGTCCGTCCGACTGTCTTTTCCACAGTCAGTATCTCACCAGCCAGCAGCTGAATTCCACCATCTCGTCACCAAATTAACCCAAGAACAAGCAAGACTTGCTCGACCTGGCCCGGGAGTAACCTTTTCAATCCGTGCTTGGTGCGTCGCGTCCAGCGCCGGTACCTGACTTGAGGCAGGGAAGACTGTGACCTCTTGCAACAGCGAGAAGGGGCGTTGTTTTATTATGTGAACCGCGACAGATAAGCTCGCACACAACACGCCACACACACACAAGAGCCAAGGTATGGACAAACGACGAGTGAAACATGAAGAGGAAATCATACACCATAGCAGTTACGGCGGGCAGGCGGGAAAATGGTGGCACGTTCACTGCTGCTCCATGGGCGAAGGAACCGAGGGCAGTCGAACATTTATTCGAGCGAAGCGAGATATCTAATCTTGCCTGAGAGGGCTCAGCGCAATATAGGGGCCGATGCAGGAAAAAAAGTGCGTGCGTGTGTTGTGTTCGCTTAAACTAGGTTTTAGAGTACAGGACTTGATTTGTGACTACAGGGCGCACTTTTTTTTTTTACACAGCAGAGCAGCAAACAGCAACAGCAGACAACACGCGCTCAGCGAGCAGACTGAACACACACGCACAGCAGACAACACGCGCTCAGCGGGCACAGCGACACACCAACAGCGCAGAGCGGACACAGCCACAGCGGCCTGCATGGCATGGCAATTGCATGATGAGTAGACGTCCGTTGGGGCCGATTGACCCGAACTCCCTCCGTGAGGCAGAGACGCACACAGACTCGCGGCGCAGACAAAGCCACGGGGAGAGGGAGCCCCTAGGCAGCCCACAGCTTGACCGGGCGAGAGCTGCTGCTCGTCAGAGGACTGCCGCCAGGCGT